AAAAAAAAAAAAAAGAAAAAGGAAGGAAGGAAGGGAAGGGAGGGAGGGAGGGAAGAATAGGGTTAGACTGGATAATTGTAAGACCTTTAAAGTATTAGGATTGTGTAATTCCATTCTGCAAGTGTCCAGGAACATGTGTACAATAATCCCCCCGCTTATCCTCAGGAGATACGTTCCAAGACCCTCAGTGGATACCTGAAACTGCAGATAGTACAGAACCCTCGTATAGTCTATGGTTTTTTCCTATACTACATCCACACCTATGGTAAAGTTTAATTCCTACATTAGGCACAGAAAGAGATTAAGAATAACTAATAGTAAACTAAAACAATTATAACTATAAGGTAATAAAAGTCTGAATGTGCCTTTCTGTCTCTCAAAATATTTTATTGTATGTAATATTTTCAAACAGTGGTTGACCGTGGGGAATTGAAACCATGGAAAACGACACTGCAGATAAGAGGGGGACGACTGTATCTGGGAGACGTAACAGAAGAAAACCTGGTGCTTTGTTGCCCCCCTTCCTTGTTGTAACTTTCGTATTTTCATTCCAGCACACAGATGGAACTTTCTGTGTCAAGCCCCTCAAACAGAAACAAGTAGTAAGTATTTGAAGACCACAGGCTGTTAGTGCGTTAGGCTCCTTCCTTCCTTTTATTCTTTCCTTTTGTCTTCTCGCTCCCTCTTTTCATTTTTTTTTTTTTTTTACTTTTTGCTAAGTCTCTCTTTTTCCTTTTTTTTTTCCCAATCAAAGAAGAAAAGACAAAAAAAAGGAGTGCTTTTGAATGTTACAAGCTATTACAAACTACTTGGGTGGCCTGAAAGGAATGCTGATTTTTGATGTCTTAATTGTTCCAGAATTGTTGGTGTTGAGGAAGTCTTTATCTGAGCAAAGGACTTGAGAAATGAAAGAACAAGATTTATTTCCCAACATTGGGTTTAGGTCTTATTTAAAATGCCAGAGTGAGAAACATTTCAAGCAAAAGGACAAAGCATTAGGGTCCAATTTAGGGTAATTAGCGTCATTGGCTTAATTTATCCTGCCATTCCTTTTCTAGTCTATGCCTTCTTAATTATCCATAATAGTAAGCTCTAGTGCAAGTATTATTATTGTGTTTATGAAATTTTATGTTCCCTGTTGTATATAATGATGGGAAAATTAAATATTTGATTTTGTTTCTTCTCTCAAAGAGAAAACATAAGTAAATAAAAGCATCCTTTACTTGTCTAGGCCTTTGATTTTTTTTTTTTTTTTTTTAATGAATTGGTAGTCCTTGGTTACCAAAAGAGGTAAAAGGGGAGGGAGTTCCCACTCCTGTCTCTCAGTAGAATCAGCCTATCCTTGAACCTTTCTGTTTGCTGTTCAGGTAGACGGGGTCAGCTACCTCCTTCAGGAGATCTATGGAATTGAAAACAAGTACAACACACAAGATTCTAAAGTAAGTTTTATCCAAAATTCTGAATGTACTCTTTCCAGGAGGCCAACAGAGAAATTATCTTATAAAGTCACACCGTCTACGAATTTAGTGTGACAAACTCTGAAATCAGTAAGGTCTTAGGATATTTTCTTGTTCCTCATTTCAGATCATTATGCCTGTACCACTTTGGAAATGAGAAAAGTAGGCTGGTTTGGCTTTGTTCTGCCACAGAGCTCTGTCCAACTTGGTTTCCTACCAGGGTCCTTTTGTTGCTCCTTTTCCTTTATCTGTGTACTCCCCTAGGTCCCTTCAGCTGAGACTCAAGAGGCCCAGCTCTGAGCCTCATAGGAGGATCTCGAGTGGTTAGTCTCATCCTCTTGACTTTAGATAAACACTTGCCAGAAGCAGTGAAGCTAAGTGTGTGGACGCACTGGGTAAACAACAAAGTCCAATGTCAATTCAGATTTTGTTCTTTTTTTTTTTTTTT